ACCAAGTTAGATTCCAGAAGAAAAAAAATTCAGGTAGGTGTGTTGACTAAGCACAAAAAATGAGAAGACTTTGTCTAGAAATAAATGACAAAGATTTATTCATGGGTCTCAGGATTTGCGAATCATAAGCACTTTCAGGTGATAGCCAGAGTGTTCTGGAGAAAAAGGTTGAGAGTTCTTACAGTAAGAAGTACATTCGTGAGAAGAATAGGTCCTGCATTCTTAGCCTCTGGATTGGTCTGAGATGGTCACCTTCCAGATGCCTGGTGGTCAGGATGCAGGCGCAGCCTTCCTAAGTCCTTCAGAGGGTTCTCTCTAGGTTTTCTAGGTATCTCCTAGCATTGATGCACAGCTGAAAAGCTCAATGTTAAAGAACTCAGGATAGCTCAAGTAAAATAAAATCTGTTTCTCCTGCATTAGCCCATTTGCTCTGAACCAGTTTTGTCAGCTTAACTATACAGAGTCCATTTTAAGTCAGCTTAGCTATACTGACTTCATCTTGCTGTCTTCACTCATTCCTCAGGTGAGAAACCTCTAAAAAGAAGAGTATAGAATAAGCATTTCATTTTATCTTGACTAGTATGCAAGGGAGTATACGGGTGTTTGTGGGACCAGAAGCCACGCACATTTTGGGGGCTCTATCAAACGTCCATCAATGGGTATCAAGGATAAGTTCTCCTCTTACCTTATCTCATAGATACATAAAGTACTTTCTTCTCCTTAAAACATCTTCTCACCTGGTTTCTAGGACATCGCTCACTCCTGGTTTTCCACCTACATCACTAATTGCTTCTTTCTAGTTTCATGTGCTCTTTGCCTCTCATCTTCCCATCTTCTTAACACTGGATTACCTCAGGGCTCAGTTTTTACCCCCTGCCTTCGGAATCCATACTCACTCGCTTGGTGCCCTTCCCCATGTCTGCTAGAAGGTAAGCTCTATGAGGGCAGAGAATCTCTTCTGTTCATTGCAATTTCCTCAGCGTCTAGAACGATGCCTGGCAGTCAGTATTCTGTGGTCCCTGGGTTCCTTATTTTTTTTTCATTCTCTGGTTTTTAATCTCTATTTTTCCCACTGAAGACATTCTTCAAATGGCTGGTGATCTTTGCTTATCCTTATGTGAGGCACCACAAAAGCTTACTGAAAGCCAGCTTTCTGTTTCTGGATTGGTGAGCTCCCATGTATGATTAAACAGTAAGCTGGCATACCTGTGGAGAAGCTGCTCTATTTTAGCGTCATTACATTGTTCTCTGTGGGGCCATTCCATTTCTTCCAAGAAGAATCCTTGTCTCCTGCCAGGAAATACAAGCCTGCCTGACAACAATCCAGTTGAAAGAGGTTCTGTTACACACTTTCTATGCATTTTTAATTTAATTTTTCTGTTTATGACTCTTACCTTTCCACATTCCTGATATGACCAAATGAAAATACTTTGCAAATCAAATTCTCTTAGAAATAAAAGATGGGCAAGCAGTAGGTGGTATACGAATAAGGAGGGTAGGAGTTTGCGGTGGGAGCAGGGAAAGAGTTATAGGGGCCAAACTACATTTTATATATTATTTCACCAATCTCCCTATTTTCAGCCTTCACAGTCACCATTGAATTTTGCGGTTCCCCTAAAAACTCTTCTAATAAATTGTTGTTATCTCTTATCTCCTTATGTGTCATCTTTGTTTGCTTTGGTATTGTAGGTTTATGCCTTTTTATTTCTTTGCTGTTATTTTAAAGGGATTTGGGGAAGGAGAACAGATAAAATGCATTTAAAGAAGAAAATTTTGGTGACAATTTTCTGTTTCACTCGGGGACAGAACCACATTTATCTTTGGGAGAAAACTTTTCTTTTTTTGGTGGGTGACATTTTCATGAGCTTTTATGATACAAAAGCACAGCCCAGATTATAATCTGAAATGGAAAATAAAAGTTTGCAATAAAAAGCAAAATTTATCTGAATAATCCTATAAATGGTTCTCTATATAGTAGGCAGAGCTATTTCATTAGCACTAGCACCTATTACTTTATTGACTGGAGAGAGAGAGGCTTCTTTTCCTTATTATGAAGCCAAGAGAGGACTTGGGGGTAGGACAAAATCCAGGACACTTTCTTTCAGGACTTCTCCTGAGCTGATATCCAGATCAACCCTTTAGGAAGCAATTTTGTTACCCTACCTCAGGAGGCTCTGTTAGTTACCTGGAATGAAGACTGTTCTTAATGACCTCTTTTCTTGATACAGCACAGGATGGGGCAAAAGTAGGCTTACAGTTGTGAGTACGTGAAGCAGAGTTTATTTTTGTATTGTTCTTAATTATTGCATTGTTTTCCATATAAACAACTGTAAACCAACTATTGCCCCACCCTGTAGGCTTCATTCTAAATATTTTAATAAAAGGTACATTACATTTTAAGTGTAAAATGTGATCATTGTATTCAGAACATAGGATTTTATAAGTCTTGTACTTGGGGGTCAATGTAGAAAAACACAGCCACCCGAAATGTAGGCTGGCCAAATACGCTATAGGATGTGAGGCCAGCTGAACGAGTCCAGCTCCTAACGGAGCGGAGAACAGACAGGTTCGCTGCAGCGGGCTTGAGCGGGCCAGGGATGGAGAGACCCGGCATCGAATCTTCCCACTGGGACCAGGTGAGGCACCAGGGAATGGGCGGGTGTTCAATCTAGCGGACCCGATACGGAGTCCAGAGAAACGCCCTGTCTTCGTACAACAACTGTGCGATAACTGATGTATTCACGGAGAGGGTCCTACAAACAAGGACTTCCAGAAGAAGAAGGAAAGAACCTGGCAGCGCTCCTCCCACGCTGTCTGGGAGCCCACAGGACCTGATCTGGGTACACCTGGACCTGTTATTCCATGGACACATTGAGGGGCCAGAGAAAAGTATATTTAATTACTTTGAAAAGCAAAGGCCTCTAAGACTATCCAATGTCCTGCATTCATGTTCTTTGTTCACCAAAACTCCTTTCACTGGGGTTGCTCTTCTGGATGATTTAGCCCACCATGAGGAAGGCTTCTGGCTGATGACTAAATGGGGTATCTTACCAAGCAATCCTCTTTTTCTCAATTTTCTGTTCTATAATCCCTTCAGAAACTATTAAGTGTAAGTTAGTTCTCCAGAAACTAATCAGTCTTAGAATAAGTCCATAAAATGTAATTTCTGGACAAGCTAATGTAAGATGGAAGTCTTTGCGAGCTCAAATATTCTGTTCAGCGAAGTCCCTTTAGGAAACTGTAGCTTAAACTGTGGACCCCAACCTCATGTTTCTGGTCCACCTCCTCAAACCCGAAATTCAGCCTGCTCCTCTTTATCACTCTTTTCTCATACTTCATTCAGCCACTGATATCACGTCTCCTTCTCATTTAACAGCTTTGCTACAATCATACAAGTTCCCAGATGTGACCTTTCCTGAATAATTCTATAAATGGTTCTCTATATAGTCTTTCTCCATGGTTTGACAGAGCAGCCATGAATTAAAGGAAGAATATCCTTTCCACTACATGCAGCCTGTGGCGTGCCTTCCCAGAACATCGGCCTTTAGTCTGCCCTTTGATTAGTTTTTTCCAGGTTTCTCCAGAGGCAATAGTCCTGGCCAAGTTTTGACAGACAGAACCGTCTCTCTGTAATGGTGAGGACACAGATTCTGAGCCCAACCGCCTCTGAATCCTGGCCACCGCTCACTAGCTGTGTGGTCTTGGGCAACTTACTTAAACGTCTGTGCCTCGGTTTCCTCATTTGTGAAATGAAGGTGTTAATAATACATCATATAGAGCTGTTGTGGCTGAATTGGTGAACGTATTTATCCTGTCTGGCATGTAAGAAGTGTGTCATGTGTGTTCGTTACTATTACTGTTATTATTGTCCTTTCTCTGAGAAGTGAGAACAGCACTTATAAAATACTTGAAGGGGAAGAAGACAAAATACAGGAGGACAACCTAGGTTTATATTTCAAAATGTTTTATTTGATCACAGAGGTAATTATCATATCAGCCAAACCCATGCTTTTGAAATTTAATGTCAGCCTCTTGAATTCACTACAATTATGGATGTATAACATCCACCCCTCCTCTGAGTGTACGTCACTTCAACCTAATTTTTTCATTCCAGGAAGTCACCAGAATTACCTTTTCTCAATAAACTTCAACTTTTTTGAGCGAATGACGGGAAAATGTTTAATGGGAAGGCCAAACACCGGCACTACTTGAGTCCAGAAAAGAGCAAAGAACAGAAAGAAAACACATCTTCAGTATTTTACCGGAATCTGAGTTAAGAAATGGGGCTCACTGGACAAAGGGCAAACAGCAGCTTGAGTTACAACAGAATGAAAAAAGAAATGTTTAACCTGGATTTGCTGTCTGAACTCTTATGCAATATGATTAAAGGAGCTAACAAATCACCTCTTACACATTAGGAAATCCTGTAAAGTTTTTTTAAAAAAAAGGAACACCTTTTTCAGAGGGTAATTGATGCTTTCAGATAAATTTCACAATTTCGTACCTCAGGGAATCTTTTGCTTTTCTTAAACATCAAATAAACTGACCATTTTATCTTGACAATTATTAACTGGCCCCACTTCACTAAGAAAAATTTAGCTTCTCTGTATATTGTAGTTGAAATGATATTTTAATGCTTTATAGGTAAAATTTTATTATCATTAGTACTTTAGAGCAAAGCTTCAGCTGAACTTTGGTTTTATTTAAGCTTTAAGGGAGCATTGCTGAAGTCAATCAAAGTACAAAAGTTCTCTGAATGAGCACAATAATAGTTTAAAAATCAGAGATGTATTTTTGTAAAGACATATTACTGGATCTTTCATAAAAATATATACAAATAGGAGAAAAAAATCAGAGTATTGGGTTTGTCCTTGACTCTCCTCTTTTAGTTTTCCTTCCAGTTAAACTGATTTCCTCACATATTTGTTACTGGATTAAAGCCAGAATCAATATCGTCCCTATTTCTAACCAAATAATAGGGAAACAATTACAAATTGGGAGCGCAGTTAAAGGACCCTGGCAGGCGAGGTGGCTGGACCTTGCCTGAGCTGTTTCTGACTTTAGGAAGGTATTTAACATCTTTTCACTTTCTACCTAATTGTAGCAATGCTAATTTAGTTTATGGGTATGATATTCAGCAGACCTCAATAAACGACTGTCAGCTATTGAGGGAGGTCAGGCTTATGTGAGAAAAGGTTGCTTCTGCACCTTGTAAAAGAGATTTCAAATTCTATCTCCTTCTCGTTCCCAGTACATTTTGAATTAATTGGATGGGCATTTGATGTAAATAATAAGATCTGAAGTTTCATTTATACAAAATGGAAACTAATGGGCGATATTGTAATTTCCAATTCAGATGTAAAAACTTCCAAAGTATATTTATTTCCAGTTTGGGGGATCAAACTCATTTGGCTTTCTAAGACTTGCACTGAGTATCAGTTCTTGAGCTAAATAACAAAGATACCGTTATTTTCCATTTTCAAAAAAAGAAAAAAGTTGGAAGAAAATTGCATATAAAAATCTCTAAGTCTATGTTCATCGGTAAATTTTTAACTGTTTTACATTAAGGTTGCAGTCCATTTGTGAATGCTAACTTATTAAACATGCTCTCTTCAATAACTTTTTCTTTCTTTTATCTTGTATTCTTCCATAATAGCTCATTTAAAACATATCATTTTTAAAATTTTACATGTTACTAATGTACTTTCATAATTGTATTTGTAAAAGTTATATATTAGCTATAAAACTTTTAAGTTCTAAATTTAATATTTTTGCTCTTAAATTTAATCCACTATAATCAACTAACTTAAAAAACTTTAGTGAGGAAGAAATCAGACTTTATAGACTTAGAGTAATGTACATCAAATAATACAGTACATCAAAGAATAGCCAGTTGAAAACTATTTTACAATAATTAAAAGTTTTGAAACAGCCCAAAGCAAAAACATTATAAAAGAAATACAACTAGTTGCATAGTGAAGCACTAAGTAATCTGATATAATGTTACCACAAGCCAGATTTGCAGAATAATAACGGTTTACTCTGATAAATGATGAAGACCAGATTTTCAAAGCAAGTTTCTTAATACCTAAACATTTCTTCAGTACTGTAGGAGATGGTTAGAATTAGAAATGAGGGCACTGCGGAACTTCAGAGGACTTAAGATATCCTCCGGAATTATTCTAATGATGATCAAATTAACGTAATGACTATTAAAATACATATGACATTTTGAAATGTCTTATTGTTTAAGGGTCTGAAGGCTAGAGGCTGCCTCCTTTCTCTGGGAATGATCAGATTTGACTATTTTAATGACAATGAGACGGGAATTTCAGGACACCAAGATAAGAGTGCTGCCGAAGTATTTCTTTGGCCCTTTATTTCATACCAAATCTAAGGTATAGCAATGTGTACATATGTTACACGCTTTCCCAGTATCTGCCAGAGCACTTTCAACACACACTGTCACTTATGCACCAGCCAGGCTCAGACATAGCTATAGGAACATTTTTCTAAAAGCTGTAATTTTTTGATAGACCTCCTGAGGATTGGCCTATGGCAGAACTAAGGGATTTCATGTGTTGACTATATGTCAGCAATTTTTAAACATATTTTAATTGACATATATTAATGTATTAACATGGAGGCAGCATTCTTATAAAAGCAGGCTGTTACCAAATTGTTTTCTCTCATTAAATAAGCTACAAATATTTTATTTTTAACCTATGTCTTTCCGCAAAAAGGCTACAATGATTTCAAGTGTGTTCTTTTCATCTAACCAATACGTATTAATCTGAATCATACAAAATTGTTAATTTTGTAGGTCAGAATGTTCAAACATATTCCATTTCTTATAGTTCGACCTAATATATGAAGAAAGGAACAATGAGGCACTAAGAAAGAGGCTCAGGAGAATTAGGGGGGCCCTGGAGTAGGGTTTTGTGAGACAGGAAAAATAAATTCATGTATTCAACCCAACTAAAAGTTGGATTAACACTTACTTTCCAAAATGCACTTAGCCCATTGTTTTCCCCTTGACCAAAATAAGCATAGAGGAGGAAGCCTGTCACTATGAACAGATGGCAGAGGCCAGGAAATTGCCTTTTCCCGTCTGAGAAAGAGTCCTCCTCCTGGGCAGTATTTTCTGCAGAGGTGAAAACTAGACTTTTATCTGAGTCAGTCACAACGATTAGCAAGGTGTGGCCCTTGCCTTCAAAAATCTTACTCTAGGCCTGGCTGGGTAACTCAGTTGGAGCATCATCCCCACACATCAAGGTTGTGGGTTCGATCTCTGGTTGGTGCACATGCAAGAAGCAACCAATGAACACATAAATAAGTAGAACAACAAATCAATGTCTCTCTCTCTGTCTCTGTCTCTGTCTGTCTGTCTCTGTCTCTCTCTCTCTTTCTCCCCCCCACCTCAAATCAATAAATAAAATATAAATTGAAAACAATCTAACAATCTTACTCTAAGCAAAATAGCATGGGTACGGGGAGCAGTTGGAGAGGATGTGTGAAAAGCTGACTAAATGAGAATCCCATGGCCTGGCACAGTGCCTGGAACACAGCAGGCATGCACACAATGTTTATTGAGTGAGTAAAGGCTACGCTGGTCCGTAAATATAGAGCGTGATCATAGCGGAGGAAGTAATTAATTTGGTCTTGAGGGGTGGTCTGGGAGTGTTTAGTTTTTATATTTAATTACACATGGTTTCATGTATATGTAATCTATATAATCTTTAATTTCCATGTTAATATTTACTTATCTTTCTTTCGTAAAACATCACCTTGCTGAGGGAAGCTCTGTTTTATTCTCTCAGCGCTTAACAGAGTGCTGAGCAGATGATCAACGCATGCTCGTTGACGCTACCATTCCCTAGGACTGTTTCCGCTTTAGTGCAGCTTTCTCCTCTCCTGCTAAGTGACCCTCCTGTTCCTTTGGAGAAACCCGTGACCCAAGAGCAAATGTGTCACAGCCCTGTTCAGGAGTGAGGGTGATGTTCAGTGGAGAAGGCCAAGTAAAAGGGCCTCTGTACCTCTCCGCAGCTTGTTTCCCTGCAGGTAGCAGGGAAATATAGGATGGGGCAAAGTAGGTTTACAGTTGTTCAAATGGGAAATAACACAATAACTAATAAATAATAATATAAGGATATGCTGTTTCACATATTCACAAATCTAAATTTACTCTGCCCCGCCCTGTATGTATATATAGAGGAAGTCCAAGCAGACTACAAGTTGGGCGCATGAGTCCTCAAGGTGGAAACTCAAGTGCTTGATCTTTCATACACCAGCTGCGTGAGCTTAGGGAAGTAGCTTAACCACTCTGATCTATAACTTATTTATATGATGAGGATAATAGTACTTGCCTTGTGCAGTTATTTGAGGATTAAATAAGGTGTTTATAAATGCATAGTAGAGTTCTAGGCACAAAGATATAAAAACATCAGACATATGTAATGATGTGTGAAGTAAAATTATACAGTTGTATCTAGCAGACTTTTTTTTACTCTCTGTAGTGCACAAATTTCACGTATTCTAAAAATTTACATTATATTTTACAAGACTTCCAAAATGGCCAAACACTCTATTTGTGACTGAATGTAAGTAATGCCTCTCCCATTCTGTAACCTTTTGTTGGTCCCAGGAGGACTAAGAACTACCTACTTTGTTAACATAGACTGAAGGAAATTTTGTCTATTAAGACCTTAAGTGATTGCTTCCCAATCTTTGCTGAACACTGCAATCAGAGGGGAGTCTAAAAAATTCCAAGGCCTGAGTGCCACCTTTAGATATTTGATTCAATCCCTGGGCATGGAGAATTTTTGAAAGCTCTCCAAGAAATGGTAATGGAAGCAAAGTTTAGGAACCATTTTTCTAATTACATAAAAATTGAGAAAGAGACACTTAAAATGACCAAGTGGTCATAGGTTCTGTAGGAATAAAAATAGCTACCAAATAATTCAGGTTATTCCAGTGTTTTTTTTTTTAAGCAGAAACCATAAGTTTACTTTTTTTTTTAAGATTATGCAGATATTTCTGTCCTCCTAGGTTCCTTAGCTTCTAAAATTTATGAAAACTCCCCACTGGCAGCACACAGAAGTTATTTTCAAGATGAGCAAAAGGTTTCATCAAGTCTGATGACTTCAAGATTGATTTTTAAAAATCTTGAGAAGTGGTAAAGAATTTTCCTCCACAACTTTAAATAGGGCTTAACATTTTTATATTTTCTTGGTACCTTGCCTAAACATTAAGGCATTAAGAAAAACAACGTATGATACCTTACTATTTGTTGTGACCTTTTTTTTCTTTCTTCTTTTAAAAATAAAAGCTGCCTTCCATATACAAAATGAGTTCCAATTCATTTTGCACTTATCATCTGCCTTGTTATCTAAAAACATTACATTAGAATGGCTACATTCCTACAAGTAGTAATTAGGGTTTCCATTTCAGAAAGAGGGAGCCTCTCAGCAACTTGCCTGAGCCCACACAACTAGGAGGCAGCTCAGCCAAAATCTGTACCCTTTGTGTTTAGGGAGCCTTTTCAGCACCTGGGTACAAGCAGCAATTCGACCACCCAAAGATCCAGAGTCCCTCCTTTGTTTTCGCAGTTGAACAGGTTGGATTCTATTGAAGGTAGTTGAGCCAGAGCATCGGTCTCTGGGGGAGGTCAGTGCACACCCAGGAGAATTTCCTTGACGACTCCCAGATGGCCTGGAACTTCACCCGACCTCCTGGATGTCCTTGAGTCTGACCCTAACTCTAGCATCATTAAAAAATGCACAGAAAATAAGTGTATGAAATTCTCTTTGTTTTTGCAGTTTTTTCGATGGGGAAAATGGCGAAGGTGTTCAGTTTCATCCTTGCCGCCATTGCTCTGGGGATGTGCAAGGAAAGCTGGGTAAGCTCATTGCAAAAGCTGTTGTTGTGTTTACAGTGCCTGCTTTGACCTGAATTTTCTTTTATTTTGCAGAAAATCTATAGTAACTCGTCACACTGAAAGAACTTTTAACTAAAGGGTGGGGTTGGAATGAGGGTTTGTGGCAGCACCTGCCACGTAATAGGCACTTACCAAGTGCTTTAAAATTTTTTAAAGTAAAAATCAGTATTCACAACACTTAGGTAAAATCTGTTTTTAATTTACTAGAGTTACTTGGATGGTTACATAACATTAGAAATTTAAAACCGTTCATTAAAATGGACCTTGAGCTTTCCACTATTGAATACTATTAGCATAAACTAAAAAGATTATTTGAAAGTAATTACAATGAATTCATGAGTGAAAAGGTAAAAATACTCATTTACTCGAAGTTCTGGGAGAAAGAAGTCTCTTACTTACATTTTAAGTTAAGCTTACGAGCACTGCATATCCAGTTTCATACAGATTGAACATACTTGCTGTGTAGTCCCTTCAGGCATTTTTAAATCGCATAGTCCACTCTGTTTAACAACATCGCCACCAATTTCCCATTATTAGAAAGCAACACAGGATTCCAAACACCATAAAATGTCTTGGCTGTTCAGTTTTCAGACAGGTATGACTCAGGAGGCTCAGAGGGTAGGTCCCAGAGGATGAACCAAGAGCAAGTAAGGAAGAGCCCTACGGGAACAGCTGGGAGAGAGCCAGCGAAGGGGACCGGGAGAGGGGAGGCGTGGCCCGGCCACCTGTCTGCCTTCTCTCCTGATGGGACCTTCAGTAGTGAGGCCAGATTTCTGCATTTACATTACAATCCTTCATGGGAAAGCAGTGCACCTCTTTCTTTTGCCCCAAATAGGAAACCTAACTGTGCTGTTCTGACTCTCTGGCAGAGGCCCCGGGACAGGGTAGGTCCTCGGTTTTATGGAATAACAAATACAGAGGTAGTACATAAGGACAAGGATGGGAAATTATACAGTTATAATTTGGGAAATATTCCTGACTATAACCAAATGCCCATTTTAGGAAATAATGTACATAAAAGTAGTGTGAAGCACTTGGACACACAACTGATAATTTCTCAGGAGTGAACGTTTACACGTACCACACAAGGTCATGACATGGGCTGCAAATAGAGATGTTAAGGTAAAATAGCAAAGATGTGTTTTTTTGTCCTTTTTTCTTACCCGTCCCCCCAGTAAGCCTCCCAGCATCGATCACTCGGGACCTTCCCCGCAGCTTCCCGGGCCCCTCCTCCCAGCAGACCCCCCCGCTCTGCGACCCTCCTTCCCAATTCACCCACCGCAGTCGCTTTGTCGTTGGAGGGTTTGCTCAGTCAGCTGACACATTAGGAAGGAGCTGATCGACTCTCTCACATGCAATATTCTTGGGTTATTTGCCTTTTTAGAGAAGGTAAGTGACTTAACTATAAGACGCAGGATCCTCCCATGCCTTTTAAAAGCGACGGAGGACCGCAGAATAAATAAGCAAAAAGTTAAAGTGAATCCAGTACAATTTTCAGCAACAGGTAGATGGGTGTGATATTTAAGAATATGAGACTCTAAACTAAGCATTCTTTATAAAGATGACCATGTGTCTAAGATTATAAGCATTCAGTTATAGTTTTAAAACATTTAATACCAAAAGGTCATTCAAAAGCCTAGTTTGTATTACCGGTGAGAAAGCACTCAGTGTCACATAGAGACTGAGAACAGAAACTCTGAGCCCGATATAAACCTTGGCTTCTCTTACCTACTGGGAATTTTTGAGCAAGTTGTCTCCTCAGGCCTGAGCCCATTCCTACTTTATGGAATTGCTATGAGGGTCAAATGAGACAGTGACTCTGAAACCTTAGCGTAATCACTTAGATTATTTTGTATCATAGCACTTTTTGGTTCAAGCGTATTAGCATAAACCATACTGTCTTATCCTTCAAATAACAAAGAGTATTAGAACTTTCAAACTACTTCCCGGTTGAGAATAATATTCTGAAATGGGAGTTGGGAACAAAATTGAATCATTAATTGATCCAACTTACTAGGGTCACTTGTCTTCCATGAGAACAAGACGCACATTGCATTGCAGGCTCTGGAGAACTGTCTCCCGGAACAGGCGCGTCTCCGAGCCCAGGTGCGCCTGCTTGAGACCCGGGTCAAGCAGCAACAGGTCAAGATCGAGCAGCTTTTGCATGAGAAGGAAATCCAGTTACTGGATAAAGGAGAGGACAGCAGTTTCGTTGACCTTGGAGGGAAGAGGCAGTATGCAGGTGAGAATCTATTTTTCTTCAGTGTTTCAATAACATATAATACACCCACCCGTGGTAACGGTGCTAATTATTTGATTACTTCGGGTTTTGCTAAAGACCTTTTCCTATTCCAGTAACGAGCAGCATGAAGCATTTTACCAAGTTCAAATGTCTTCAAATATATTTTTCCCTTTTTCCTCTGCTGTCTCTGGAGGGGACATTTAATATCAATGCTCAATCAGTATTGCAAACGGCAATTTTGCATATTGTAAATATGCAAACGGCAGATTATATTTGCAAAATTTTACAGTTGAGCTTTGTTTTTATTTATGTCTCATTAATTTATGTCTCATAAATGTCTCATTTCTTGTCTCATTTATACAGTTTTTCCTTCTGAAACTCTGACGTGTCTCAGGGTAATAAATAAGGTAATAGCATAAAAGGCTAGAGAAGAAAAAAGAATGAGAATTATTTAGAAAAATAAAAAAGTTATTTTATGTGTTTATTTTATAGCTTAGTGATTTTCCTTTTGTTGAGGCCAGTATTTGCCCCAAGAAACTAAATAATCTTCATCTGTCAACATGTGTACATAGCACTGGACATATTATTACCTATAGAAAACTAGTCACCTTGTTTCCTCCACACATCTCTTAAAGTAAACAGAGGGTTGTCAGCAATAACAATTATGCCATCCAAGTGCTTCGTTCATATGGCCCATCCAGCTTCTGCTGTGATCTATTATAATTTCTCTGTGAGTTTATCTTGGTCAATTACTTGTAAGGGTGCTTTGTAAGGTCTGGGATGATGTTTAGTGCGCTCTTCTCTCCCTATTGACCATCAGAGTCCCTAGAGCGTAGTAGGTCCTCACATTCATCAGTGAAAGAAAGACTGTACATTGAGATCAGAATAACAAGATAAGCAAATGCAAACTGGGAAATACATTTGACTATAACATAACCTATCGAGGCTAAAGAGATGCCAAGTTGATGAGAATGAAAACACCTTTGTTTTGTGTTTCCAGATATACTCACTAGTGTTGGATATAAAAGTTGTAAGGATCTTAGACCGTTTCAATAAAACGCTCCCTTTTTCTCTCTTTACCAAGCCTTTACTCTCCTTTGGCTCAGACCCTCTGTTGCCCAGCCGCTTGATCCTCTATCCTCTCTCCTCTACCCTTGCAGTACAACTGCCCTTCCCCTTCTAGGGGTCGGAAGGGAGCCAGAGCCACCAGAATGAATGAATGTAAGATAAGGGGAGGATGGCCCATGGATCTGGGGCATAGAACGTGGAGGAACCAAAGGCAGTCCTGGCGAGAACAGACTCGGAAAACCAAGGGACTGTCTGAATCAGTCACAGGGGCAAAGAATCAGGAACTGGAACCTTTGAAGAGAGCTAGGTAGGTGAAGATTAGGCCAGACTATGAAAAAAGGCTCAGGAAAGCAATCAAACAGGAAGTGCAATCAGTAGAGGTTCCTTGAAAGCAGTGATTCTCAGCCATTAGAATCGCCTGGTGACCTTTTAAAATGCTGACTGATGCCCATTAAGAACTGCGACAAGTCAGAGATTTTACTCTATTTGCAGATTAACAAGTTAGCTGGCCGTGGATTCGGGGACTCTGGTGGAAGATAGGAGACTCCTGGGTCAGAGCCACGAACGTCATGTTTGTGTGAGTGTCCCTTGCCTGCAGCGTGGAATAATCCAGGTGGAAAATGTGCAGGCAGGGGGCTATGTCACCGGTGAGGAATCCTAAGTATACAGAAACTGTCTTTTATAATGGATGATAAGAAAACCTGCCCAACTTTTGCCCACAGAGATGTTATCTTCGTGAGGGTAGACAGCAAACACCTGCCCCCTTCTCTTGAGGGAGACACTGTCTCTGTCTTCCAAGGACATTCACTCTACAAACATCCCTGAAAAAATATTCCAGAACATAAGCTCTGCTTGCAGCATGTACAGAAGTGCAAGAGACTCGTGGGAAACTGTCTGCAAACAGGCTCCGCTGCGGACCAATTAAATGTGAATCCTTACAAGGTTGAAAAGGATTGGTGCTCTTGCTGCTGGCTGTGGAAGAGATTGTACCAGAGCAGAACTAGGTCAGGCTGAGAAAGGCTAAGGCATGCTGGAGTCGCGAAACAGAAGGCTTTGCTTTTACTTTAGCAAGGAGCTGGGGTCTGTGGCAGTTCAGTAGCCTTTTCATTGGATGAAGTTTGAGGCCTGGTTGAAATGTCATCACGTATCCACCCAGCAGGCTTCAGCCACCTAACCAGAGATGGTGGGAAAGGTCGAAAAGACCCAGGTTGGAGAGTAAGGTCTCACTGGGTTAACAGGTCAATCTTTGTGGATGACAGAAACGATTCACAGAGAAGGGGGTAACCAGAATGGTCAGAAGGCCATGTGATTGACGACCCCCTGCCCTTATGGGCTGAGCTCTGTCCCCCACCTCCCAACTTGTGTGTTGAAGCACTATGAACATGACTATATTTGGAGACAGGGCCTGTGAAGAAGATTAAGTTAAAACAAGGCCATCAGAATGGGCCCTAATTCAATCGGATCAGTGTCCTTATAAGAAGAGGGAATTTGGGCTCACAGAGAGACACCAAGGATGTGGGCGCACAGAAGAAAGCCCGTAGGGATGGAGCTAGAAGGCAGGCACCTGCTGGCCAAGGAGAGAGGGTTCAGGAGAAACCCAACCTGCTGACACCTTAACCTTGAACTCCCACACTCCACAGCTGTGGGAAGACAGATGTCTGTTGCTGAAGCTATCCCATCTATGGTACTTATTATGGCAAGCTAATACACCTTGCATTGCCTGAGATCTCAGCTTCTGGCCCAGAGAGGTGGTGCTTTATTAAAGACAGGTGACTGGCAGTGCCTTTAGTCAGGGCTCCCCAGGGCTCAGGGAGAGTGAAACCAGACACACAACCCATAAAATTCGCATGTTTTGACACAACCGACTCTAATGATGGAAGTCTGACCGGATCTTTCTTGCGGGTGACGTCTCCTAGAGAGTCAACAGAGGCTGAGACAGCGACGGTGAGGGGAAGGCACCCTGGCTCGGCTCCGTCACAATGGCCTGGATCTGCCCTCTCTGGATGTCCCTGCTCTTTAGTCACCTGAACACATAATAACTCTGTTTTGGAACCAAGGTTGTCTTGCCTATTGTTTGAAGAAGGGATTGCAGTCCTACCAGCAGTGTTCCTTCTGGCAAGTTGACTTTTCTATGCCTCAGTCTTCTCAGTTGTAAAATGAGGATAATAACGGTGTCTGGTTTATAGGATTTTTTTGTGAGGGTACAGTGTGAATGCACAGTATGAAGCATTTAGAGCTGTTCCTGCCACACAGCTCATAGCATAGCTGTCATTTTAAAAAATATTTCAAAGGTAAATTGTGTTACACAAGAAACTGGGTATAAGACAGGAAGGGATCCTGACAAAAATGAACAAATTTATGTATCATGTCTATGTCTCTCCCGTTCCAATTTCCTCAGGGAGGATGGATGTACAGTCTTTGTCATTTAAGTTTGACACAACCTCCCACATGACCTTGAATTTGACAGCCCCTGTTGCTCTCTCTCTATCCTGTAGATCAAAAAAGGGGTCAGGGATGGGGAGGGGAGATCAGAAGAAGCAGCGATGAAAACCCCCACGTGCATGATCAGAGCTAGAGAGAAGAGGAAAGTGGGGGTGGTACAAAAGAAAGAGAGAGAAGAGAATATAAGAAAAGCATGAAGGAGAGCCTTTGATTCTAAGGACGAGCTGAGGTGAAAGCGTGTTTGGCGATGGAGGGGTTTGCTCTGACAGAGCGGTTGCTAATTTATGAGACAGGCTTTGTGGAGGCAGCGTCAGAAGTAAATGGCAGAACCAGAACTTGGACATTATCTGTTGTCATGTGTCTCTTTTGCATGTTTCATTCTAGGTACACTAAACTTATTTCAATTTCTCAATAGCACCCTGCTCTCCTGAGCCTTCAGAACTCTGCATGGGTCCCTTTGGGATCTAGAACATCCTCTACTCAACCTCTTCCTCCTGGGCCGACTCCTACTATTAAAAGATAGTAGATCTCAGTTTAGCCTTCAAGAAACTTTTCAGACCCTGAGGCCTGGCATAGGCCCTCCGAAAGTCCCCTCCACTCTTCTATGCTAGCACTCATCCTGGAGTATTGTCACAGCATGCGTAATCTCTCCTGCTAAACCACCTAATTGCTTGTATTTTCAGTGCCTAACATGGTGACTGGCGTATAGTAAATGTTCAATTTTTTAAATTTAATTGGTGGAACAGATCAGGTGAAAGAAAGTGAGTACAAACACTTCAAATAGATTCATGGGGAATAACAAGGTAGATATTAGAAGGACAACTTGAGAGAGAGGCAACAGGTTGCTTATTCTAGGGACGACCATACAGGTATGTGGATCCAAAACTAGGTACAACGTTGACCCCAAAGGCAAGGAATTGATGGATGCAGAAGGAGTACCATTATTCCAAATTCCAAACCAAGTTCAAGATCATGGTATCTATTCAGACACCATCTGAGCAGGTGGTTAACACAGATTCAGATGTCAGATAATGGCAGGAGGCGGGCAATGGGATGTGTGTTGCTGGGACTGCGTTATCAATCCTGTTTAGGAGCTAAAAGTCCGATCTCTGTGTTGGGGGGGCTGGAAGGAGACTTTAGGAAACAGGAGGTCACCATGGAATAAGGCAAGAAATCAGTTACTACAAAATTAAAATATCAAGGTCAGAGCAGGACTGACTCTATAGACAGGAATTAGGCAGAAGAGTGATGTGGGTGGAATCCATGTGCTTCTTATAACATCATAATCCATATAACAATAGAAAAAGACATTATAGAGGACTGTTTCTAATTAACACCTAAAAAACCCCTGAAGTCAGTAGATCCATGTTTAATTTTTTTCATATTGATGCAAGCATGAAGGAGGAGAGGGAGGAATAAGTTATAAAATATAAATACAGCTCAATTGTACTTTATTTTTCAGCATATAGGGATGGAACTAGAGAGCCTGCTGAAGGCAAACACTTCATAAGTAAAATATATAATAACACAAATTCTAAAAAAAAAATCATATACTAAGCATGTATTATATATAGTTATATATAATATGAAATATATAAGAACTTGCTCACACCAAAATTTATGTTTTCGGTGTCCTTGAACTTAAAAAATATTCATGCATATGATCTATAGAAACATAAATTTCTTTGTTCTCATTTACAAGTTACTATGTTACTATTAAATTAATTATTTTCTGAATTCTAATTCATCTCATGGTAGGAAAAAAACCTGTTTACATATAACCTAGCAATTTATGCATACAATGCACAAACTGCATGATATTTATATAGCATATAATTAAATGCATCTTTTTAAAGTTTTTGGTGCTATTGAATTATGTACCTAAATTAAAAGTTTATCGTACCAAACTCACATTAATTGGTGACATTCACAACAGGCCTGTGGCATCACATTTGTTGAGCCAACAAGACCCCTGGCTTCACCGTGTCCCCTTCCGCAGGGGGCGCCTGTCTGTATGAGACGGCCTCTTACAGCCTGGGTAGTGGTAAGGTGTAGACACGGAAGCCTGTTCTGAAGTCCAGCTGCCCACGTTGCCAGCTGTGGTCCTTGAAAAGTCCCTTTTCCTCTGTGTGTCTCATATTTCTCATCTGCATAGTGGGAATGATGAGAATCCCTGTTTCTCTGTTGAAAAGATCAGATGAATTAACACATATGTACATGATTACAAAAGCATTTAGCATTTAGCTCAATGAATGTCAGCTACGCCATTAGAGTAGTCCCCCCTCATCCTCAGGAAATAAGTCCAAGACACCCAGCAGATGCCCGAATCAACAGGTAGTGCCAAACCTTATAGGTACTATGTTTTTTCCTATCCATACATACTTCTTCACTTCCGGAAGCAGTTCACGGCTTCTCTTTGTCATATGCAAATGACCAACAACACTACTTAGGCGTTGGGGTCATTATTAATAAAATAAGGATCATGAACACCAGCACTGCAATACTGACACTGAGACAGGCGACATGATCACAGAGAAGCTGCTCCCTGTCTAACGGGTGCGGGGGTGGGGAGTGCGTACGGCGTGGGGACCTGGTCAAAGGGTCCTCCCAGGCTGGATGCAGCACGGCTCACGAGACTTCATCACGCCACTTAGAACGGCGCACAATTTAAAACTTAGGGATTGCTTATTTGTCCATTTTTCCATTTAATATGTTCAGACTACAGTTGACCACAAGTAATTATCAATGTAAAGTGAAACCTGGGATAAGGGGAGACTCCCTGGTTTTCAGGAGAGAGCGCGCACTCACCCCACCCCACCCCATAAGAATACCGCAGTCTCCAAGGGACTGTAAGAGGTTCTCCTCTTATGTTTCCTTCTCCTGTCACCTGGAGGCTGGGAATGGCCGTGGGACGGCCAGGTCTGGCATTCCCAACGTGCCTCATGGAGGGTGGAGAGGGCGGCCAACCGCTTGCTGGCCTTTGAGTTTAGAATGTCCAATGCTTATTGCCTGTCATTCTCAGCTTGAAGCTCAGCCTCCATTGTGGGCCAAGAGGAAAGAGCCCACTTGGCAGGTTGTCATGCCACTTTATGAAAAGCTGAAACATTCAGACTTCCAGCGCAGTTTGTTTCCTGCGTGATCAAAGCGAGTATTCTCCTCACCCAGTTTAATGCCGTGTTTGTCAATGAGGCAGGGAGACTTGGCCTCGTTCTGGTATTACATAAGTATCCAAAAATCCTTTTCTTTTCTTTTTTTTTTTTAATTCCTATGAACACAGAGAGAGACCTTTACCTCTACCCTTCTCCTGCCTATTTTCCAGAGAGCTGAGTGGGTCTAAACATTTTGAAAATTATAGTTTTAAATATCTAGCTAATATTCAAAACTCTACATTGTTAGGCTTTCCTGCAATGGCAACGTTAAGTCCCATGTCCCCAAGGCAGGATCCCTACCTTATTTGCTAAGCAAGTGCTTATTTGAATTATAAGTTGGATGGGTTTTTTGCTTTGTTTTGTTTTGCTTTTCCCTGTTGAAAGCCTTCCTCTGGATCTTAAGTTGTGTTTGACATTTTCCACTTGGAAGAAGAAAAGATTTTTAAAAAATACAAACAAACTCATATTTGGCATAAAATAAAAACAAATAGGAAATGTTGGCTGAAAACTCTATATTCACAAAGTTTTCCAGAGGCATACAGTATAGCTAATTATTTCCATATTTGTCTAGAAAATAGTCTGAACCTTAAGAGCCCTTACTATTCAGCATTTTGGTAAAAGTTTAAAAAGTAAACAAGGAGTTCTTTTTCTTAACAAGGGAAGTTGAAATCTGCCTACTTTAATGAAAACGGGCCTGCAATATATTTGACCACAAGATGTAAGCTTTTGAGCAAAAATTGAACTAATTTTAGGTAATCATTTTCCTATTGTTTTACTTTTTGTTTAATTGACAAACGGCATTTAGAAAAATAATTCAGCAGCATAAAGACCATTTGGGCTTCTGAATCTCAAAAATAAGTATGTGAATAAAGCCTAAATCATTACAAAGATGATCATTTTACCAAAGCAATAGTGTGGTATTGTTCTCAACTTGGGGAGGGCTTTGGAAAGTGACTTAAGTTTCTTTGTGTTTTTTCTCTTCTGGTTCATATTGCCTACTCAACCTGTTTAAAGTGGAGTGTGTTTTGTTAGTAACAAATCAGAGTTGTAGACAATTTGGCATCAAAACAATGAAAATGAAGAAAGAGCTTAAAAATATGCTAACGGAATGAAATTATCCAATCAGGAAGAGAAAAAAAATTTAAAAGATATTAACAAAATGATACCAGTGAAATATGAAAGTTTGTAATGTCATATTATAGTATTGAAAATATTTTTATTCAAAATGAGTATTTTGAATAAAAATACTGAATGAGTATCCTTGAAACTATCTCTGTATCATGGCCAATACTTCAGCCACCGTAAACCATAGCTTCTGGGGCATCTAAACAATATGAAGTCTGTACTCACCATATTCTCTTAAGTCTGCACAGATCAGCCCATATGAGACTCAATGATATTAATTTATCTCACCCTCAAGTAGTTTAAGAAACAGATACTACTTTTTGGTGACAAACTGGTATCTATGTTTACTTCCATGGTCAAAGAAGTACCATGGCAAAGAAGAATGCTGGGAGAAAAAGAATGGTAGAAACATTCAGTGTTTAGCAAAAATGTCTAAGAATACACGGACTTCTAGAAGCTTCAGTGGTTTATTAAAAAATCTGGCAAGACTGGGAGATTGTAAGAATCTAACAGGATGATTCCTATTTTGAGTTCATTTCCAGATGTTCTGAATTATTTGTAAAGCTCTAAGTCAAGATAACCCATATTATTTGTTTAGTGTTATATTTCTACTTTCATTTTAGCTTCATAGGAGAAATAAGGTCCACTATTCTGTCTGATAAATCTGTAAGTTCCACTTATATAAACTGTAACATATTAACTAAACACATATAGTTTAAAAAACTGTTTTCTCCAAAAATTAACAATGAGAAACCAGGTTCCTATTTCACTCTTCCCAGCCCCCCGCCATGATCGTATCAAGGAGTTAGATGATAACTAAATACTAGGAAAAGAAATGGCATTGTTAATATCCACTGGAAAATGTACAAGATGCAATTTTTAAAAGCGGATCGTCTACCTTATTTGTTTATCTGTTTGCATTAGTTGAGTAATCTCATTCAGAGGCTCCCTTTATTTTTTTTAAAAAAAAAGACATAACAAATGTTGCATTATCTTGTTTTACAAACAGATTGTTCAGAGATTTTCAATGACGGGCACAAGAGCAGTGGATTTTACAAAATCAAACCTCTCCAGAGCCCGGCAGAGTTCCCTGTCTATTGTGACATGTCTGACGGAGGAGGATGGACTGTAATTCAGAGACGATCTGACGGCAGTGAGAATTTTAACAGGTGCGCTAATTAGGGCATAAGGATTTATGTGAAGTAGAAAATGTAAACTTCGTAATGCGTCAGCCCTTTTGTCCTGTCCTAAATTCTACTAATTAGACAGACCCTCACTCTCTCTAAGTCAGAATAACTGAAAGCGCATTAACAAATCAAGAAAATACTGGGTGTTGGAGGCGCAGTGAGGTGGGGTGGGCACCTTGGGTATTGCAAAGGGCTGTTTGGATTTTGCTAAAATCAGCTTTCACTTTAAATGTTTTAGAGGCTGGGATGACTATGAAAATGGCTTTGGAAATTTTGTCCAAAAAAATGGTGAATATTGGCTGGGTAATAAAAATCTTCACTTATTAACCACACAAGGTAAGATTTGCCTAATATCAAATTCATTGGAAATAAAATAAAAAGCACTAAAATGTTTTTCACTAAACTATAGGCAATGGAGCTAATTAAGTAACTACTATAATTTGCAGATGGCAACGGCCCCTTTTGGGCAATAATTCCCTTTGTAAAATGTGGCTGCTTAAAACTGAGAATAGAGAAAAAGAAAACTAGACCTGGGTTAGGGCCGGGGGGGATTTCTCATATATGTATTTTCTATTTCTGGGCAAGAAATAGAATGTCACAATCATTCCTTTTTATATGCCTTAAGTGCCTCAAAATATAGCTAAGGTACAGTTACCTATTGCCACCACAATACTGTGTAACAAGCCACTTCAAAATTGAGTGGCTTAAAATCCCAGCCACTTGTTTTTCCTCACAGACCTACACGTTGCCCGGGTGGTTTTGCTGCTCTGGGCTGTGCTCTGCGGAGACTGGCTGGGCTTGCTCCTAGTTCTGCGTTCAGCTTTTTGGTCAGCTGGAGGCTGCGGTCTAGGCCCTCAGGTGGAACAGTTCAGCTCTGCCCCGCATGGCCACACCCCTTCCAGCTGCCAGCTGGGACCTTGTGCTTGTTGCAGGAGTTCCAAGAGAGAGGGCAGAAGTATCTAAGTTTCTTGATTCAGAACTGGCACCTAGTCATTTTGACCACCTTTTATTGGTGAAAGCAAGTCACAGGGCCAGCTCAGCAGTAAGGGGAAAGGACATAGACTTCCTGGGTGGGCTTACAAAGACCCAGCTAAGGGGAAGATGAAGAAGTGGGGCAATTGGGGCTGTTTTGGCAATCAAATACCATACTACACTAATGCATCTCTCATGCAAATTTCATTTTGAAAATTTCAAAGATACAGCCACACTGAAAGAAGTTTTAACCTACCATCTGTACTCTACTTGAAAATTTTACTCTACTTGTTTTTCTCATATCTATCCATCAATCTCTCCACCAATTCATTTTATTTTTTTGACATGTTTCAAGGTAAATTGCAGAACTCTGTATGATTTCCCCTATATACTTTTGCATGGCTATCTTTAAGTAGTGTTCAATATTTGTCTAAATGTCATTATTTTGATAACAAATTTTCCATGTTTCTCTTTCCATGTTCTTTTGCTGCAACCTACTGTCTTCCTTACCTCATTTACAGTGCGATATTCTAGGCAGCTCCTCTTAGGTTCGATTCTAAATATTTCATAAGAGGCACCTGTATTGCTCAAGAAAGCATGACAGACCACACTAGCAATGCATTGCCTGTAAGAGCAAGGATTTTACTTGGTTCCATCCAAGTTAAGGAAAGCAACTGGTGTTTCTATATTCATAACAGTCAGTAGGATTATAATTACAGGGCTTTTTGAGACACTGGAATAATAGCTTAGAGAAGAGGGATAATCCTAGAAGCCTAATACTTTCTTTGTTGGTCCTTTCTGGTGTCTAATGCTGTCTAAATTTTAACATACTTATTATCCTACTTTTAATTGTTTTTTTTTTTGGATAGGTATATAACATTTATCATATCAGCTTCTGTTTCTTTCGCACATTAATAGATATCTTGTCAAAACTGTGGAAACCCCCAAAAGTAACTCTTAGTGCCTTCTAAATGCACAAAATTCATGCTTATTATTTTTTGAAATATTATTAAGTACTTAGTTGCCCAGGTGCAATTTGCCAACACATTGGCTTCCCCCTCTTCTTTTGATTAATATTCAGCCTGGCTACTCTGATGGTAGCAAAAATGAATTTATCCGTTCTAGGCCTCACAGCCACATATCACATCATCCTAAGGGGGAAAAATACCTTTGTCCCTGCATTCCTTAATCACGAGCATGCTTGAGGCTAAGCACTTGCCTTTGAAAATAGCTTTAGCCCCATCACAAAATTTCAACTGGAAGTGTTTGCAATAAAGGTAATTTACAAATGGTCTGTAATTGCATTTTGGTTTACTTAATGACCTAAGAGATATTTAGATGGCTGCCTAAAATCTGAGACTGCCTTTATATCTCTTCCATAATGCTAAGTATTTCTGTGGGAGAGTTAACAGCCTGCCTTGCTGTTCCCGTCCACTAAACAGTCTGTCCACTGCACAGTCTTGGCTCGTGGGCCCTTTACTGTCTATTGTTCAGGTTAGAGGGTCTCTTCCTTGGAACTCACTTTGGAGAACTCCACAGGAGAAGGAACCTGTGGGACCAAAGTGCCAAGGTCAGCGGGAGCGCACACCCCATCCTAGGCTCACTCCAGTAACAGGGGACCCAGCATTTCAAACAGCCTTGAGCTTGTCTCCAGGACCCGTTCATGCTACTTCGTCTGCCCCGTGGGGAGGCTGTGCTGCTGGTGTGCGCGGCCCTCAGCCTGAGGGGAGGTGAAGGAGCAGCTCCTTTGTGAGTGTAAACAGAGCTTGGACATGCAGTCTGGGAAGTCCACAAGTGTGGACAAGCCGTTGTGTGTGCGATGGAGATAGAGAAGTGGGGAGAAGGGAGGCAGACCGGAGACCAGGCCCCCCGTGACGAGGTCATGGGGCTCTCTCCTGGGCCCCCACGTCCTACCTTGGAACCTGGAAGTCCGAGGCTCCAAATTCAAACCCAGTGTTACAGGCCACTGTGAAATTCTATTTATTAAAGTAGGAGGATAGAGCATGTGCTATTCAACAGTTAGTCTGATTCATAACTTTCTATGTTCCTGACATAGTAGTTGTGCTTCTGAAAAAGTCATAGTCTTCATTATTTGCAAAGGATGGGACAATGAGAAAAAAAAGATGATTACTTGAAGATACTAACTATTCAGTCATTATTTATATTTAAGATCAGCATTCTTACTGCAATTAAGAAAAAACATAACATTGAAACTTTTTAAAACTCCTTTTCTTTCATTGTTAGATTTCTTAATCTATTAACTTAATAATGACTTACTTTCTGTTACTCTTTGCAAAGTAAATTGCACTAGCTTTTACCTATGATAGATGGTAGTAGAAATTTTTTATATTTAATATTGTTTGTTATATTTAATATGTAATATTTAATATTGTGTCCCTCCTTTTTTTCAAGGAAAATATACAATAAAACATTCGTGTTGTAAACACAATAGAGTCACTGTTTATTTTTTGAAAAACCAACTTAGGAGTTGGTCTAAGTAAAACAGAGCCATTATTTTTTTTAAGCCTCAGTAAGTCAGTGTTATCTCACACATAAAATAAACAAACTACAATTTGTTGTTTTTGTTGTTTTCTAGGAGACTACACTTTAAAAATCGACCTTGCAGATTTTGAAAAAAATAGCCGTTATGCCCAATACAAAATTTTCAAAGTCAGAGATGAAAAGGTACTAACATTTTCAAATAAGAAAACCACAAATTAATGTTTAAAACTTACAAGCTAAACTCTGAAGTCAGTAGAAACAAAAATATAGAATTCTTTCATTTATTAAATAAGCCTACTTTTTAAATAGTGACAGCTAACAGTGGAAGTTGCCTCTTCCTTTAGAATTCCTATGAGTTGAATGTGGGAGAATATTCTGGAACAGCTGGAGACTCACTTGCAGTGAAATTTGACCCTGAGGTGCAATGGTGGGGTAGTCATCAAAGAATGAAATTCAGCACGTGGGACAGAGATAATGACAACTACCATGGGAACTGTGCAGAAGAAGATCAGTCTGGCTGGTGGTTTAACAGGTTTGACATTTTACAAACATAATTGTAATGGCATTGATGATATCTCACTGCTGGGCATTGCTTTTAATACCTATATGAGGTAATGTTGATCTTCTGTACCGGTATTGTTAAGAAATCATCCTTGTTAGAATTCTTCAGTGATGAAGTATTTCTGAGGATTTGTTCATTGCGTACATGAATAAAGCATGAAAGGTATGTCTTAGAAATAAACCAAATTCAGTTTGCAAACTGAATTGTGAGATTGCTATCATAAACAGTAGACCACAAACTGACACAAAGAAATACCATATTTTGCCACGTATACTGTGCACCCATGGTTTTGTGCACATTATACACAGGATTATTATACCCATTTATGTAATCAATATACCCATGTATAATGTGTATCCTTATTTTTCCTTCAAAATTTTGGGCAAAAAAGTGCTCATTATACATGGCAAAAAACAGGAGCGAGCATTTACATATGGGAAAAATATTAGCCTTCTAATCTGCGAGTAGCTCTTCACCTTCTCCCATCATATGAAATGGTCATGTTATTGTCGTAAATTTTTCTCTGTAACACATAATACTTTTCAATTCCTGTGACTTACACTAAATCACTGAACCCAAGCTGTTTCCAGTGCAGAAATTTTCTCTACAATATTTCTGAACCCTAATTCCACCCCTCTGATTGAATACTTTAATGTTTTTTAATCAGCAAGCTCATTCCATTGTTGACTGTATTAAGTTTCTTCATTTATTAACCTAACATCTGCCTCCTTATACTTTGCCAGTTTTTTCCTTAGTAGCTACAGAGTACTTGCAGTTCCTTTTCAACATAATCTTCAGGCCCTGGCTGAGATGGTTTTGATTGCATTCCTCAATATTTTCTCTTCGCTAGGCCAGATATCCCCAATTCCTTGAACTCTTCGCCACCCGAAGTGGTTTCCAGGCAGCTCCCTTTGTTGTAATTACAGATGTAAGGCGGACATGGAAACTTCATACAGTCTCCTTTAAAAATTACCTGACAGGCCTGATCTGCAAAGCAGCTGTGCTCAGACCATCAGGCAGTGCTCGAGCTTTGAACAGTTTCCTTTCTCTTTGGAAGACACGGGCCGCCTCAAATTATCTGGACGTGTAAACTTTCCATTGCAGAATTTTTAGTAATTATTTATGAAATGTCCGATTGTCCAAGTAATTGAGGACTATCCATGTAAATTCCATAATCCAAATTGTAACACTTTTGTTATGTAAGCACTTTTAAAGTGTTTTAAGAATCCTCTATCTTACAAACTGGAGGTATGCCAGGCATACGCTAATTTCCCCTGAAATTGTGAGTCCTCAGTAGGAACAAAAGTTACTGAGAGGTGCTGATTTCAGAATGGCAGATTCTGTAGAGATGCAGCTAATCAAGTTGAATCTAAGTTGTAAAAAACAGAATTTTCTCTGGATTTTGCTTTTCTAGAAGTATGAGTACATTTAATTTTTGGTCATTTGCAAGGGAACTGAAGCACATACACCAGTGAGAGGGGACAGAGAGTCAAAGTTATCTTTCCTACTTAGCAAGTCAAAGGGCATGACAGTTTTTTCCCTAGTGATTTTCTTGTTCTTTTAGAAACCATCTTTGGCTAACTTCCCTTTCTCTCCTTTTTTTCTTCCCCTGTCCTTCTAAGTTACAATCACATAAAAATTATCAGCACTATGCAAACATACCTATAATTCACAAAGTTGCAAACATCCCTTCATGTTTGATTTTTAACACAATTCCATATGCAGGAATAACAACTACATCGGTCAATGTTAACGTAAGACCCAAACCATGTACCTGCTGCTCAGTCATTTGGCTTTTATTGTGCCTGAATGATACATGCACACATATTATCTTGGGCAAAGAAATTATTTTCTTAACTTTAAAGATGGCGGTTTGGGGAGGACAGGCAATTCAGTGGCTGGGGTCACCCAAGGAGCATGCGTTATCCTTGGAGTGAGTGGAGATGATAAGGCTGTGCAGGTGGAAAAGCAGAAAAGCTGGAGAAAAAGCCAGCTGTTCCAGAGGCTTGGAGTTATTTCTACCATGCCTGCCACTACTGCAGGTTAACTTTATTGTCATTTTCCTCCTTATTATAGTTTTTCTTTCTTTTTAAAAAAAGTATCAATCATGTTCTTTTAGATTTTATTTATTTATTTATTTTTAGAGAGAGGGGAAGGGAGAAAGAGAAGGAGAGAAACATCAATGTACAAGAGGTACATCAATCAGTTGCCTCTTGCGTGCCCCCTAATGGGGACCTGGCCTGCAACCCAGGCATATGCCCTGACTGGGAATCAAACCTGTGACCTTTCGGTTCTCAGGCTGGCACACAGTCCACTGAGTCCACACCAGCCAGGACTTATTATAGTTTTTCTAACTTGCATGAAATGTTGCCACTTCATAATTATGCACCTTCAAGCCACTCTTTCTTCACATAGCAAGTCAATCGCTGAGGGAGGCCCAGCCATCTCCCAATCTGGGTGCAAGTTCAGGGTGTTAGAAATGGAAAGATGCTGGACACTTAGTCTCAGAATAGCAAAGATTTCCTGTGTTGGCCATACAGTCGATTCCTAATGGGATTCAAATCACAGACCAAGTTTAAAAAGTGTGTATAGTGGATGGCTCTGGGAAGACAGAGATACACCAAAATATATATTCTGGAGGCTCGATTTAGAGTGTTTTCTTTTTTGACATTACTTCCCATGCAGTTTCAAAAACACGGTATGCTCTTGGCACTTCAGAGTTAGTGTACATGTTTTCAGTTAGCTACACCCATTTAGATTTAGGAGGGCTCTCAGGGCGGTCAGCGAGAGGGAATCACTGAGTGGGGTGGATGATCCAAGCCAACTACTTGCCATTTATGGGTAAACTGTAAGGTGGGGTTTTTTTTTATTCAATAATCTGGGTGCTTTCCAAAGATTTTCAGAACTATCCTTTGTGATGTTTGCCTTATATCCTAATGCCTGATATCCTGGCATTGGTTATATCAATAAAGAAGTATGTAGCAATCCATTTCCTAACAGTGCACCGAAAATTATCACATATTCTTAGTTTTGTCCATATCAGGGACAAAATTTACAAATATAAAAGGAAGAAGGAGGACTTTTTAAAATTGATAACCAACTTGTCTAGATTGGAGCAGTATGTCAGGGTAAAAAATTAACACAGCAGTTCAGACAAATGATTATGGGCTGACAGCTGGGAAAACTTTAAATGGTGGGTTTAGGCTTTTTGTCTTCTTATCCTCAAGGATAAAATAATTGTTATGCTAGCGGTTTTAAAAAGGGAGGGAGAAAGTTTGAATTGTGAATGCTGCGTCCTGGCAGCAGATGGAGATGAACGTGTAGGCGCAAATTATCAGAGCAGCCGTCGGCAGGGCACCGAGCCACACCTCACTCTGTGAAACCACCCCGTTCTTGCTCAGGCAGAGGATTACAAGGCTACGCTTTTCTACACTTGTTTTCCTTTTTTTGTTTAAAGGCTCTTAAGCGCAAAAATGCTTCTTTATCAGTACACTCACTACAAGTGGCCGGACTTGTATCCTCAGGTTTGTTACGGCACTGAAACCCATCAGTTAAAAAAGAAAAAAAAATCTACTGCTGAGAAATCATGGTTTCTGAGAAGCAATAAATATTTCCTTGTCTGAAAGTGGCAGAATTTATAGTTAAGATGTTTTTGGTCATTTGCTAGCAAAATACAAGGTTGCCGGAACCATCTGGTCTGATTGTCCTGTGTTTATTTTTTCTCCCACTAGGTGTCACTCTGCAAACCTGAATGGGTTGTACTACCAGGGTCCCTACAACGCCAACACTGACAATGGGATTGTCTGGCACACCTGGCATGGGTGGTGGTATTCTTTGAAATCCGTGGTTATGAGAATTAGGCCAAATGATTTTGTTTCCAATGTTGTTTAATTGTTCCCCTTGGGCTTTTATCTCTGCAAATCATCTTGGTTTAAAGTGATTTGAAAAGTAGCCATTCTGAACATGTACATGGATGATGATTGTAATTGTTATGTGTATTACTTTTCATTCTTACTTGCCTTTGTTACTTAATGTACAGAAATTGTGTGATATACACCAAATAAAGGCAGGGCATGTTAATATTTATTGCATTGCTATGTACGGAGGGATATGATAAGAGCTATGCTGAACAAAAATAAAACACATAGAACATATGCCAACCTGAGAGATGGCACAAGCATGCATACATCATAAATTAAGTGTGAATACATTTGAATATGCACATAAAAAAATCTAGCAAATAATGGGTTGCCAAGTCAACTACGTGGACAATAAATACTATGAGCGGAGATTTGAACTCAAGTCTCTATCTACAGAGTCGGCACTCTTATAAATACAACCCAGGATCGCAGTTGCTATAAAACAGTATCTCACATTTTTAGGGTATTTATGCAGGTTATATTTTTCTTTCAGAAGCCTCATTTATACCAATCCCATGAAGTAGTGTTATCCCCAATTCACAGAGCTGAGAACATATGGATTTGAGATTTTTGTGATGCTCAAAGTTACAAAAGTAAGGGAAGAAGTGCTCAATTCCAAGTCTTCTGACACTGAATAAAACGTGCTGCTACCATGCTACAGGTTCTTGTGTCTAGAACATGAACAGGTGTGGTAAAGAGAAAATCTCTAAAATGAGAGTGAAAGCAGGACTAAAGGTAAAATATTCCCCCAAATATCTGAGTGCCAACAAGTATCTGGCACAGAAGGTATCGTTCAAGCCCTCATAAAGCTCAGTTTTTAAGAAAGAAAGACATACACTAACCATATATATAATCATATGTAACTAATTTTAAAAGCTGGTAAGTGTGAAGGAAAACTATGTCTGGGGAATGTGTATCAGGGGCCCCACCTGACTGGGGAAAGCTTCCTGGAGGAACTCAGCGCTTCAGCTGCCATCTTTTAATAAGGTGTATGTGGGAGATCATTGCAGGGGGAGGAAAAGCTTTGCGTCAAGTACACAAAGCGGCAAAGAGCAAAGAAACAAAATAAAAGGTTGGAAAGGAAATATCACTCAGTGATCCTTATATCCTCAAACCAAAGATTCTGCCACTTAATAGCTGTGTGACCTTGGGTAGGTTACTTGACTTCTCTGAGCTTCAGCTATGGCATCTGTAAGGTGATTATAATAGTACCTGCCTCATAGGGTTGGGCGAGAATTGCACAAGTAAAGTACCTAGAATACTGACTTGCGAAAAGTAAGCAGTCAATAAGAACCAGCTGTGATTGTTAGTGATGTAGGCATTAAGGGACAATAATGATAGATGTCTCAAAATAATGGGTCACATAAAAATGTTAAGGTTAGTTGTACTTTATTCTCTAGCCAGTGTTTCCCAGAGCAGTGCTTCTCCACCTTCCATGTCATACAAATCCTCTGAGGATCTTGTTAAAAGGCAGATTCTGAGTCTGGGGTGGGGCCTAGGATTCTGGGTTTTTTAACTTTAGGATTCTGGTTTTTGAAACAATTTTCCAGATGATGCAGAAGTGGCTGCTCACGGGATCACCCTTTGAAAAGCAAGGGTTGTAAGGAACTGCAGTCCTTAGGAGAGAGTAATAGCTCACACAGGAAGAAACAGGACCCTTGAGCAAACGAGTTCAGGAGAGGACATATTAAACAAAATCCAGCAGATTTCTCTTGAGCGTTGCTCAGGTTCTTTAATATTCTAGTGTGCATTCTAAAGTTCCAGGAGTGACATAACCTATGTTGTAATTTTACACCGAGTTAGAAATGTGTTTGGTTGCAAGGTATAAATCACCTGATTTCAGAAGCGCAAACAAAAGGGATTTGTTGACCTTGCGTAACAAGAACTCAGGAGGCAGGAGGTGCTGGCCTAGCCGCAGTGCTCTGCAGTGCGGAAGCCGAAACCTCTGCAATTCACTTGGCCCTTCCTTCAGAATCTCAGGTTGTCTACCGCAGCTCCTGCTTCCGGTCCCTGGTAAAAGCAGGAAGAAGGGTGAATGGTCAACTGACTTCAGTTTCTGCCTCACTGGCCTAAATTGTGTCACCTGGTCATTCCATCTGGAAATAAGTCCAGGAAAGAGAATATTTCAGTTTTATAGTCCCTCGAATGTGCAGGTGTGAGAATTGTTCCCCAGTGTTTCTGGACATTTGTTTTTTAATGCAGTCTTGTCGGAATAGGGCTCCACAGGTCATACTTTGTGAAGGTATAAACCATGGGGCGCCAGCGACAATTTTAAACACAGGTAATATTTGCTCAAGAAGGTAGCCTGAAGAACTCATACAATTAGCAGATCAAAAGAAGAAAAGCTTTTAAAGGTGAAAAAAAGTGATATCACAGAGAAGTGGGAAGGGAGCTAAACAAGTATAGTGTTACACAAATCTCAGTGTAATGGGTTTTCAATTCAGAAGGGAGGATATAAAAATGTAAATGCCATAAAAAGATAGAAGAGGAAGTGTTCTAAAGAAAGACTGCTGGGTTCAGTGATAATGTTATTCATGTCCTTAAGTCCATTTTGATGGACTAGTGGACCGAAAAACCAGAGGCCAGGAAATAAAGGCAGTTAACAGAACAGATAGGTCATTTGAGAAGTTTGGATGTAAAAGAGGGAAATCCGCAGCTTTACCTGGAGCCAAAATATTAGGAAGACCCTAGTCTAAAATAAATTCCTCTGAAATGTCATCATTAGAGAGTTAGTAAGTAACTAGGCTTTATCACATTTTAAAATGCAAATAGATTTTAAATTTGCATCAGCTGATTACACATTACGGCCAACAAACTGGAGTGTTTTTCTGTTATTGTTGTTGTTTTTCCAGTACTCAGCCTTCTGTTAGAGGCTCTGCCTGCCCTGGGACCAGCACCTTCTGGAGCAGGCAACCAGCCCATGGGGCAGGGGGTGTTCTGGGGGCGGGGCAGAGGGGAGGGGCCTGTCATCCTGTCCTCTGAGAAGGGACCTGGTACTTTCCTGAATTTGTGGCAGTGGCTGGGAAAGGGCTTTCATGCCCTGCATGTGAAGTGGTGTCCCAGAGCAGGACACGGGACCCTTCTTGCAGGGACAGAGCTGGAATAGGCAGGCAGCAGCTGAGCCTGGGCTCCCTTGTGGGGCCTTCTCTCGGTGCCTCCAGGCCCACCCCTCTAGAAAATGATCCTTTCTTGGAGGGTCACAGTGGGCCCACCCGCCTTGCGTTGGCTGTGTGGCCTGTGCCTGGCACCGTGTTCTCTTGGCCGGTTTCCTCGCCTGGAAGCTGGGCCCCTCACCCCTCAGAGGGAGGATCCCTGGAGAGGGTGCTGTGAACGGGACCAGGTGCAGGCTGCGTGCGGGGGGAGCAGGTGACTGGGACAGGGGCCTGAGCCCAGGGGACGCGGCTCAGGAGAGCCTTCCCTCCTGACAGCGTGCCTCAGGTCACTGCGGAGAACAAAAGGATAGGCCCCCTTCTCCTTCCATTCGACGTAGCTCAGTTTTCATCTATTTCACCTCTTCAGATTCCACGTAACACTTTGTGGTTTTTAAGAATTGGTTAGAGGGAAAGAAGAAAGCTTTTCTTTAAAAAAAAAAAAAGGTTTGGACCTCTCCCTTTATTTTAGAGATCAAGAGATTGTCTGCATTTTTCAGGTGACAAGTATTTCTGGTGAAAGACTTCCTCCCTCCCTTGACTCAGATGAATTCACAAGCATCATAATATACCCGAGAATGTTGGCATTTCATTTAGAATACTGCCTTAAAATACGCAGGCACCTAGAAAACTATGCTCCATGGCGGGCAAGTCCAAGCCAAGCTGTAACTTTTAAGGAAGACAAAAGACAGAATTAAGCATTCAGTCATAACAGGCCGACTTCTTCTCTGGGAGAAAATGACACAGGGTATTGTCTTCTTAATTCCTGGGGTGTTGGCACCATTTGCAGTTTCTAGGCCTTTCTAATTATAGATGTGCCACGTAACATTGCCTCCACCTGCACTTATAACAATAACAATATTCAGCACTTAACATTATCAAAGACCTTTCCAGCTTGAACTAATTAATTCTTACAATTTCAACCATCTGGGACAGATAGTATTATTATCCAGGTTTCATAGACACAGACAACTTCAAAAGAGGTTTCTCCAAGGTCACATAGCAATTGGAGCAGGGCCAAGAGTCTATCTTAGAAGTCCTAGATTTTTAAGTTCATTAGAAGATGATGACCTTATACAGTTTTGATTTAGGGGTTATTTGAGTTTTTTCCTTCAGGGTGCTAAACAGAGACCCCTTTGTTGGATGGTAGCTGCCTCTCTGGTCTCTGCAGAGGCTTCTCTCCCAGAGGGAGTCATTATACCCTTCGGAATGATCACACACGTCATAATTCATTGGGATACCAGGTAGTTTTGGAGCTCTTAAAGGTGGCTGACGCATGCCAGCTGCTTCATCTCTCTTTCTCTCCTCCTTTATGACGCCTATTGTGTCTCCTTTCAGTTGAGTGATATTACAACGCAGGGCTCTTGAAATGTAAAATGAAACCTCAGAAGAGTCAGCAAGTTATAAAGGCTTCTCTGTCCTTTTTGGTTGACCAACTAACTAATTGAGATTCTTAGGAATCACATACTCCTTGAAGAAGGTCGTTTAGAGATAATAATACCAGAGTTTTAACCACTAGTTTTCTTAAAAAAGATTTAAAATAGTCCATGTTTCCTTAGCTATAAGGAAGTTAAATTTGAAATAACACTACGTAGCTCATTGGTGGAAAATCGTCTTAACCCCAGCAACTTTTGTCCTGTTTTAATAGTCATGGTTTCAAAATCATATACATAAAAAATGATTCTAAAAGTCAAAAGGTGATAGACATTTTTAAAAAGATTTTTTAAATTTAATTTTTAGAGACATGGGAAAGGATGGAGAAAGAGAGGGAGAGAATCATCGATCAGCTGCCTCTCACATGTGCCCCAACCGGGGACCAAACCCACAACCCAGGCCTGTGCCCTGACTGGGAATAGAACCGGTAACCTTTCACTCTGCAGTATGATGCCCAACCAACTGAGCCTCCCTAGGCAGTGCTAATAGACTTTTCAAAATTTATTGATGAGAGAGAGAGAAAAACATCTATTTGTTTTTCCACTCATCCATGCATTCATTGGTTGATTCTTGTATGTGCCTT